CAGGTGGAAGAAATTCTTCATCTTGGGAGAGCACACCTGGCCAAAACAGTACCTCATCCTCTTCAGTGGGAACTAAGAGCACTGCTGGTCCGCCAGCAGAGGTACTCGCTGCTACACAAGGAGAAACTAATGGGAAAGATGATTTGGTTGAGCAGCACGCTGAATCGCAGAGCTCAGAGCAGGAGCAACAGATGCCGCCATCGCCTGAACTTAATCCCAGTCCTAATCTCTATCCCAATGTTCAAGTCAGCCAGACTTCCAGTCCCGCTCCCCCCATAGACATTCCTCCTCAATCTACACCTCCTCCCCTTCCCAACTCCAACCCGGCCCTCTCTTCGCAAGACTCCAGGCAAACAGAAGCACAAGCAGTCCCGGAGCCCGAACCCAACACTCCAAGCACCACCATGATGACTCATGAACTCCCCTGCACACCCTCCAGAGCTGAACCTCCAGCAGTACTGGTGCATGAGTCTGCTGGGTCATTGGGTCTGCCCTCTACATACAGACGACCGGCCCCAGACACGCTCAGCTACCTGGAGTCTGCCAGCCTCATGTCAGGCACACTGGAGTCTCTGTCGGGGCTCGGCGAGGACGGCAGCTCCATTGGCTCAGACTCTGAGATCAACGGTCCAGTGAGGAAAACTGATAAATACGGCTTCCTGGGAGGAGCGCAGTACAGTGAGACCAAGTGAGTGTGTGTGTGTGTGTGTGTGTGAACTGAAGGGCACAAAACTACATTCTTACATCTTCTTTGTGTGGTTTCCTTATTACTAGGACCAGACAGAATCTGCAGACATTTCTTGCTATTTTTTAGAGTATCATAACTAAAAACGTAATTTATAAATTTATTATGTATAATATATATAAATATACTATATTAAATAAAATATATATATTTTTAACTTTTAATTAACGTTTACAATGCAAATCCAGTTAGAGCCACTTATTTGGTAAACAAAGCAAGTCTCTCATAATATATATCTACTAACAGACAGAAATGTGACTTTACAAACTTTTTGTAAATCAATCATTTGAACATTTTCATATTTGTTAATAATATTACTGAAACGGAATGAATATAAATTTACTCCATGGGCTAAAAAACTGGAAATCTACAGATTTCTGCACGAGCAGATTCCATGTGGGCCTACTTACAAGTAAAGAGAGCAAGGCCAAACCACTTCAAAATTTAAATGTGTAAAAAAACTGTTTCAAAATGGATAAACTCTTCCATTTGCTGCAAACATTTTGAAAATGTTCTTTTCGACTTGCTTGTCAACTTAATTCAAATTCCTAATTTTCTTTTAGTGCATATGACATTTGATTTTAGTATTACTAATGTCAAGTTCAGACTGCAGGATTTTTAATGTAGTTGCGTCACAGATGTTTCAACATCTTTGTCTCTTCATCCACAAACTACGTCTTGCGCCCAAACGCACGAGAAGTGAAATGGGAACAATGCGAGGTCAAGTTACATAGGATATCTTTCGTTATTAACTACATAATGAGAAAGATTATGTAGTTTCACCTTTAGTGGGGTGAAAAATGTACATATTTTGCCTACCGGGTGTTTGAAGAGGATTAGCATTTTCCACTAAACTTTTTTTCGTTTTTGACCCGGTTGTGGTATTGCTCAGTTCCTGCCATATTTACTCTAGTTTTTCCTTTATTTTGTGAGTCTAAATAACTTGGACTGAAAAGAAGCATTTTTAACTTCTCTCCAACCTTCTCGCTGAAGTTAATCGGCACTGTAATTTTTCAACCAGAACTCATTTCACATGGCATGATTTTGAATCAGCAACAGGTCCAGATGTTTAGCATGTCAAATATCTCACAGAAAATCGGTGCTAAAATCATGCAGTCTGAACTCGGCATTAGTTACGCATGTAAACAAGACTCAATAAAAGGATTTGAATAATTAGAAGATGATGCAAACCTGGGTGGTTGTATGGCCACGACATAAGGTAACCACTACATTTTTATTTATTATTTTTAAATATTAATATTATTATATTCGAAAACTTAATTGTCATGAGTAAAGATTAATCGATTACTAAATTGACAGGGCTATAGGTCTATTAAGCATGGATGATATTTTGTTTAATACAAACGGTCCAATATTGTGCTTGGAGAAACAGAACGGTGCAGCAACTAAACATTTGTGATGTTGTGTTGTATTTTGCCATGCTCATTCATTATCTGAATCTTAATATAGTTACAATCAACAAGGTGTATATGTGCATTTTTACACAGACATTGTGCAGGATCAGGACCAAATCTAAATAGGTAAAACAATCTCTCCTCCGCAGCTCTAGTCTGAACGCTCTCTGCCTGCTTCCTGATTGATTCGCTGACGGTCTATCAGCTTATGGCATTGAGATTTATCCTGAATCTCTCTTCGCTTTGTGATCTGTCGTGTCATTTTATAGTTATTCACATCATTGGCAGTTTATGTGAAGACTTCTCCTGTACAAGTTACTAACCTGCCACAAATAGCGGGTTCATTAAAACATTTCAGGGAGGCTGTATTTGATTTAGAGGGCAGGTTATAAAATGTTGGAAACCACTGGTCTACACAGTATCCTGTGCAAAATTAGGAAGAGAAAAAATAAACTATTTGCTCACATGGACACACACGTGCACCAGTTGGCTGTGTGACACGGCACTATTGACATCTATAGTATATTAGTCATCATATATCAGTCATCCTTTAATCATTAAAGAGTTAATCACCCAAAAATGATTATCCTGTAATTACTCACCCTCACATTATTGCCAACCTGCAAGACTTTCATTCATCTTCAAAACTCTTAATTAATTAAATGCATTCTCTTAGAGGTGTCTGATTTTTAAATGTTTTACGAAGATGTGTTAACACTGTTAAATTGTAATTTTTCATATAGGGCAAAACATTTAGAGTCACAGGCATTGATTATTTTTAAAGTAGAGTTTAAGATATTCATGAACGATTGAATCAACATTTATATTGAAAATGTCAGGAGTAAACAAAATATTGAAACGGAACATGTTGACAAAAATCAATATTCACAGTCATCTCTGTGACTCAAATGTTGGTTGGATAAATCAGAGCAGGTCGATTCAGAATGAAAGTGAATTATAGGTTAATTGCCAGGCCCCTGATGTGATGTGTGCTGGTAGGAAATGAATAATTCACACCTATGACTGAGAGCAGGCTAAACAGTTGGGGCTGCTTTCCTGTGTCAGTGTTGCTCGCTCTTTTTCTGTGTCCTTCATGTGTTTGTTGTGAGTGACTCAGATTGTGCTGAGAGGTCTCATTTGAGTCAGAGAGCACTGACTGTCTCACTTTTAGTCTCTCTCTTCCCTCGACTGTCTCTGCTGTGCCTCTTGTACTGACTAATTGTGCTAAAATGGGCAATCACACTGTTCTTTTGCATTTGAACATTTCCTTTTTTTATTCTTGTTCGGCATGAATGCATTAACCACCACATGTCCAGCTATTTAAAAAATTTCTGCGTGAGAGAGCCTTAAATTAGGCCTTCTCATATGGTCAGCGTGCTGCCTGTCAGATTTAGATCTCACTGCTATTTTTGTTTTGTTTTTATACATCTTAAGTTTAATTTAGAAGTGAGTCAGAAAGTGTAAATATTGGCTTTGTGCTCCTAGCAAGTGCTTAGCCTGACTAAGCATCCTTTGCCTGGTCATTTCATTCTCTGTTTTTTGAACATTAAATCCCCACCTTGTAGTTTAGTCGGCAGCTAGCTCTCTGCAACTCTCACATAATTGCCCATTTAAGCTAAGCAGGGCTGCACCCAGTCAGTACCAGGATTGGAGACCACATGGGAGAGCTATGATACTGTTGGAAGTGGTGTTAGTGAGGCCAGCAGGGGGTGCTCAACCTGCGGTCTGTGTGGGTCCCAATGCCCCAGTATGGTGAAGGGGACTCTATTCTGCTTGGTGAGCGCCGTCTTTCAGATGAGACGTTTAACCGAGGTCTTGCGATAGCTATGAATAAAACAATGTTTACTAGCATTATAAACAAATTACTTCCCCTCAATATACAGCAAGTCATTTCATTTCAACAATATTCAAAACAGAAAAATAAATTGAACACTATTATAAAACAAGCAGAGCATACAGTGATGTTCTCCAAAAACAATTGTTTTTTGCGTGAACATCAAGGCTAATCTAGCTTATTTGATCTGAAACTTAAACTAGAGATGTGTGGGAAATGCAGTATTAAAATACCATTTTATGCATATAATCAAATACTCTCAGCATTCAACAGCCGTTCATATGTGTGCAAGCTTTTTGTGTCTTTCGCTTGTTTAAGAGTAACTGGAATATGTAAATCATCTTGGAGTAAAAGCCAAAGCAATTGTCAGATTATACAAGCAAATAAGGTAAGCTTCATGTTCAGAGATCACACTAGAGGTTCTGCCTTTGGTGTCATTCGCTTTGTGAATTCACTACGCTTTTTCTTTTTTTAATAAGTCATTATTACTTTAGCGACAACACTTTTCAAATCAATTATTGTATATTATTATTATATTATATTATATTATTGCATCTATATAAAATCTTTATGATATATCGCAAATTAAAGGTGCACATTTTGCCATTTCTTGCCAACCAGCTACCTTGTTGTTGTTAGTGCCATGCTTTACTGCTTGAGCTATATGAAAGCTCAAGTATAAACCCTTTTGTCTCAGGTTCGTCCTTCTCTCAGAGCCAGGGTGGGAGCTTTTACGTTGGTCGCACTTTATTTTAATGGTCTGTTTGTTGAATTTATGTTGATTGCATCTACATGCCAAATGATTCTAATTAGATTATATAAGTAGACTTTTAGGGTTAGTGTTAGTTTACATGTACTTGCAAAATTTCTTATTGTCAGTTAAATGTCTGTTGAAGAAGCATAACAACATATCAACTGGACCATCAAAAGTGTTACCAGTAGGTTTATGTGTTTTGTGTGGTTTATGTACTTGTGACCTCTGTGTTGTAGTGAGGCAGAGCTCGCTGTGGCTGTGGCCAGACAGAGGGAGATGAAATGGCTTGACATGTTCAGAAACTGGGACAAATGGGTATCCCGACGCTTTCAAAAGGTCAGTTTCTCACTTAAAAGCTTACACAATGCACTCTATTCTGAATTAGGAAATACTTTCCTTATAATTGTTGATACAATGGTGAGTTATGCTTTGCTTCTGATGCAGGTTAAAATGCGCTGCAGAAAAGGAATCCCCTCATCGCTCAGAGCTAAAGCCTGGCAGCTGCTTTCCAACAGCCAGGAGCTCCTTGACTCCAATCCTGGGAAGTTTGAGGTATGAGAAAGCAAAGTTCCTTTCAAGGAAAGTCTATTCACTCTGCGGCCATGTTTGCGATACCCCAGGACAGCTCATCCAAAACCAAAGTCCTAATATAATGGAGGAATCCTGAAATCTTGAAAATTTCCTTGCTGAACTCGCAACTAAATGACAGATTTTAAAGGGCCATGAAACCCCCTCGTTTCAGCAGGGTGTTTTCACACCTCTTCTTTGGAAAAAGTCAGAAAAGTGGGGGTGTCCAGCTCTGTTTAGGGGGGAGTGTCGGAGAAACTAAAGTGGGAGGGTGTGGGAGTGTCTATTTGGGCACGCGCGAGTTTCAGTCAAAATACACAGGAGAAAGGGATGGTGTTTAACCTACATGGACATCTGTAGTCGAATTATTTGCCAAATTATTACATGTCGGACTTTAACTGCAGTTCGGCTCTTTCATTCAGGGAATTCATTCATGCCCCTCGCGACAAATGAGATATTTGATTCGAGGAACTGCTTTAAGCGTGTATTTTTCATGCAATGTTTGATACCGCACGGCGAATGACAGAAAAAAAACTCCGCATTTCCCGGAAACTTAGATGCACACGGCAGGTAGCATCCGAAAGCCGCGTGTGTTATTCCGGTCACAAAATGCGGTGCTAACATGTTTGCACTCAATGCAATAGTTAACTTATTTGATACGAACAAACTGAATATACAAAGAGCACTGGTCGCTCACTTACCAAATCTGTAGAGACAGGACAATCACCAGCAACTAGAGCCGCGTCTTTATGAAGAGAAGACTACATCCGGAATCCGGATTTCAGCGTTTGCAGATGAGAACAGCTCTCAGGTAAACAATAATCCCCCTTAGACACGTAAATTATTGTTGTCGAGCGTCGCGTACACTGTAATCCACACGTGATCCAGATAAGCTCTCACAGAGAGAAAATGAAAATGAAACTTAATGGCAGCAAACTGTAAAAGCAACACTTCACGCTTGTTTTGCCAACACAACGTGGCGTCTCTGTGGTGTAAAGACGGTGACACTAATGAATATTAATGAAGTTGCACAATAGAGCGCGCTGATTGGTTTGAACCAAGCCTTACTCATGCATTAATGCAACACACTGTAAGACGTAATAAGGCACACTCTGGCACAGACGCCCAGTCTGCACGCTGGAATACAACGCTATTATGTCATGACCGTGACGCAGCTTCAAAAATTCGTTTCAAACAGGAAGTACGAATTTGCTTGAAATAACGCAAAAACAACCAATCTACACTTTTTAGTGAAATATAGGTGTCCTAATAGTGTTTTTAGCAGTGTGGGACACATATACGACTGTCAACAGCTCAAAAAATGTGTTTTGGTGTTTCGTGACCCTTTAAATCAATCAACAATAAAATCTGAAGTGACCTGTCCCATTACTGTTGTTGCTTAAGTTGTTTTAGAATTTTTATCATGCATTAGTGGTAAAAATCTTATTTAACTGATGTATTCATTTGATTGTTGATTTTAATTCTATATTATTGATTTATTATGCTCATGCCTTGAAAATAGCCTTGCCTGCTGACATGAAATAAAAATATGTTACATTTCCTGTTCGCTCCATCTACTTGCTATTTCAGTACGATTGATACATTTATACATGGTTGGGTATTTCAACCGGAAGGTAGGATTTCCTTTATTCTGGTGGCCATAATGATTCCACTTTTCCCCATTCACAGTAATGTTACTGAACAGTCTTTGTATATCTATAATCTCTGGAGAAAGTCTTCTTTAAGGAAACTGCTAAGAGGCCATATTTGGAAATTCTCATGGCAGCAATTTTGTATCCACGAAGTTCTATCTATTCGAATGGGGAACTAGACAAATCTCAGAATCTATAATAAACTCCTAAACGAATGACATATTTCAAATAGGCAATAGAAGGGGACTTTAAGAGCATGTTAGTTAGTTTTGATTCAGGTGATTTATATTGCAATGCAGATTTTTTTAGACCTTTTTAGGGCAGTGGTCTTAAGCTCAATTCCTGGAGGGCCACGGCTCTGTATAGTATAGCTCCAAGCACTTCCAACTAACGCCTGCTTAATACTCTCTAGTAGTCTTGAACACCTTGATTAGTTGGATCAGCTGTGTTTGATTTGGGTTGGAGCAGCCCTCCAGGAATCAAGTTTGAGACCCATGGGTTAGGGTATATTCTGCAATATTGTCCATTGTTGTTTCTCCCATTTATGGTCTCTCATTCATATGTCCACTTTAATACGTTTTCATTTATAAACATATTGTTCGTTTAGTTATGGCTGTCCGTCCACAATAAAATAGGGTTTTTTAAGTAACACGAAATATATTTTGGGAAACGCTGTCCAAAATGAATCCGTTTGAAAGTGCTGTTTTTGCCCTGCAGTGTAGACTGCGAAACTGGAGGCTTTCGAAAACGATGTCTATTTTAGCCGATGCAGTCATGTGACCAATTCATCTAACATTGTAGAAAACATTGTAAAGATGTTTTAAATGCTGTCCATTTTGACAGCTTTATGATAAATTAATGTTAGTTCGTACATTCTCTATATTGCCTTCAAAGAATACGGAATGTTTACTGGGAGCTTTTGTTTAGCTGCAAAACCAGACCACAGTTGCAATATTTTCCGCAACGTTTCAAGAGACGGAAACTACATAAATACCAGTTGGATGAGACGCAGGAAAAAGTGTCTTACGAAAACGATTTTTTTTTTTTTTGTCGTTTTAGCGATTAATGATGGTAAGAATTGAAAACGATAGTGTAGATTTGGAGCGTTGATAAATAGGTAATTTTCAAATCTATCTGCAATAATGTAGACGTAGGCATATTATGACTAGTGAGCCTTTTTGTTACATCTACAATCTTTTGGAACAGACTAGAAAATATCTTCCTGTGGCAAATTGTTGCACACTGTTTTTATACTCACTTTACAGTTTTAAATCTTACTTTAACTGCTCGACATGATTCTTTTTGTTATCAGAGACATATCTGTTAAAGTTTCTTTTTTTTATGTGTGTGTCAGGAGTTGGAGCAGGAGCAGGGGGATCCCAAGTGGTTGGACATCATAGAGAAGGACTTGCACAGGCAGTTTCCATTTCACGAGATGTTTGCTGCTCGCGGAGGACACGGGTAAGTACAAAGGAAGGATTTATCAAGGGAAGGGTGATGTAAGGCTTTTATTTAGATGATTACAAAATATGGGTTTTTTCCCTTCTGTGTTTTAGTCTCTTAGTCTTTGTTTATTGATACCAGCACTGATCCTCTCAGTTTTGCTCTTCCCCCACGCTTTTCACACTTTCCTCCTCTGCTCAGTGTGTTGTTTCATCTGTTGAATTATATGGAATATTTCCAGCATACAAAATACTTAAAAACAGTAAATGAACAGTAAACTTTAAACTCTATCTATCTATCTATCTATCTATCTATCTATCTATCTATCTATCTATCTATCTATCTGTCTGTCTGTCTGTCTGTCTGTCTGTCTGTCTGTCTGTCTGTCTGTCTGTCTGTCTGTCTGTCTGTCTGTCTGTCTGTCTGTCTGTCTGTCTGTCTGTCTGTCTGTATGTCTGTCTGTCTGTCTGTCTGTCTGTCTGTCTGTCTGTCTGTCTGTCTGTCTGTCTGTCTGTCTGTATGTCTGTCTGTCTGTCTGTCTGTCTGTCCATCCAAAAAATTCCAATTCGTAACTACCGCAAAAACAGATAGGGATCTTTTTATACCCCCTAAAAAGCCTGCAACAGCTCATAAAACAAAACTCCCCCTTTAAAAAAAAAAATTGTTATATTTTAATATTTATAATTTATTGCATACACATTTACCTTTCGCATGCACAGTTCATAAAACATAACTTAACAAACTACTTTTTTTTCTTAAATACAAATGCATCTTTTTTTTGTGTATGCCCAAAGAAAAATACTTTAGTCTGAAGTTGTAGTTTTAAGGAAATAACTTGAAAACAGAGCATGCTTAATGTTAAAAATCATGATTAAACTTTGTTACACCTGAAGTGTGTGTGGAGAGATAGCATGCAATCCTGAATTGTTACTGTGCTTGAACAGTCAGATACATACAGTTATATTATGTAAACATTCAGTTATGTCTTAAGTGAACATATGAAGTAGGGTGAATAATGCTGACCTTATGATACGTCTTTAACATAATAGACCTTTTGTGGTTATTAGAGTAATTTAAAGTAATTTGGATTAAAAGATCATATTGTGAGCCAAATGAATATTCAGGCTGGCCAGAATATACTGGCTGCACGATGTATTGGTTCAGCATACATATTTTTGTATATTTTATTCAGATGCAATTCCCAGCAAAATCATCACAATTAATGTAAAATGATGAATTATTTCCAAATAGTGGTCTTATGAAATTACATTCATATTATATATATTCATATTTAATATATATTGCTAAAAAATAAATATAGCTGTCACTTTTTTCCAATGTTGTATAGCCCTAGTTCAGTCCTAAATGACTCTTACCACATCAAATAAAAATCAATGGTGTCTATCCAAAACTTTAATCTACATTTCCATCCTTTTTTTTTTTTTTTACTCATGTCTGTATTTCCCTTTCTTTGTGTGTTCAGGCAGCAGGACCTGTACCGTATACTGAAAGCCTACACCGTCTACCGGCCAGATGAGGGCTACTGTCAGGCCCAGGCTCCAGTGGCTGCGGTGCTGCTCATGCACATGCCTGCTGAGGTAAAAGAGTATTTTGTTTTGCATAGAGAAACAGGATGACGAATTTATGACTAGAGGAATATCACAGAATATGAACCAGTCACCATTTTCCCTCTCATTTCTTTAGCAAGCCTTCTGGTGTCTGGTGCAAATCTGTGAGAAATTCTTGCCTGGCTACTACAGTGCTGGTTTGGTAAGTGTTCTGCAGCTCAAAGTGACCACAGAGTAGTGTTTGTTTTTATTATTATTAACCACTCTTTTTCTCTTCCACTTCTGTCTTGCAGGAAGCGATCCAGCTGGATGGAGAGATTTTTTTCTCTCTTCTGAGGAGAGTGTGTCCCATGGCCTACCGTCACCTGAAGAAATTTAAGATTGACCCTATACTCTATATGACAGAATGGTTCATGTGCATTTTCTCCCGCACACTGCCTTGGTCTTGTGTTCTGCGGGTCTGGGACATGTTCTTCTGTGAAGGTTAGTTATACTTTTAAGAACGAAGCAGCTTTTGAGTCAAGTTGTTTCAAATTAAAATGTGTCTAAATGTGCAACAGTCACTATTAGTGATATCTGAATGTAACATAAATTATTTACTTTTAATGAAACTAAAAGTTTAATAAAATCATGAATATGAGAAATTACAATTGAAATAGCTATGTTTCCATCCAAAAATGCGAATTAACTTTATGCGCACAACTGGAATATCTCATAAAATACGTACAAATACAGCAGTGTTTTCATCAAAAGAGAACAAAATTGTCACTTCCTGATTATCTGGCACCAAATATCAACACTAAAAACGGAATTTGCTGCAGTATGAGAAGCTGTGTCAATGTTTTCTTCATTTAATAAATGACTTGTGCCTGAGAGGGCAATCCTGACCCACAGTGAACACCTTGTGGCGTTTGAAGGCGTGAGACGTGGAGTACAGACACTCTTGGCAGTTCTGGAGGTCATTAATAATATAATAACACTAATACTGAAATGGTTAAGGCATTTTAGAATGGCTAAAACAACTTTTCAGATGTTTTACAATGTGCTCAGCCTACTGATTTGTCAATTTGTACACATTTTCATCACCACATGATCTCTTATAACAAAATCACATGACCCATTTAATAAAAAAAAAGTTGTTTTTTATGCGCATATGTAAAATACCCATCAAAATAGGTGGATGGAAACGTAGATACTGACTAAACATCACTTTTAAACTTTAATTTTACTAAACTGCCATCATTTACTTATTCTTTCTTTTCCAAAACCATTTTTGGGGAGGTAGGGGAGATATTTAAAAAAATAACTGGTAGTTGGCACCTATTGACTAGTATTTTTTCTGTATCAGAAAATATATGCTTATCACAGAATAAAGGTTTTATTTTATTGTGCAAAAAAAAGAGACAAACAGCTCGCATATAAATGAAGTTCACATCTATAATCAATTATATATATATATATATATTTCATTAGTTCTCACTTGTATTTTATTAGTTGAAATTCTCCTGCTTATTTCTTAAAAAGCATGTTTACTTGCATTATTCATAATGAAACAATTGAAACATGAAGCATATATAAAACTGCTTGTTGTCATAATTTCTTTTTAAGTTTGACTATCACTTATTCTCACCCTGGTGCCATTTATTTATGAATATACTGGAAAAAAATGTATATATCAATAGCATATATCTATATAATGTATATCATACATATATATATACTCACTGGCCACTTAGGTACACCTTACTATTACTGAGTTGGACCCTCTTTTGCCTTCAGAGCTGCCTTAATCCTTTGTGCCATAGATTAAACAAGGTGCTGGAAATATTTCTCAGAGATTTTTGTCCACATTGACATGATAGCATTACACAGTTGCTGCAGATTTGTCGGCTGCACATCCATTATGTGAATGTCCCATTTCAACACATCCCAAACGTGCTCTATTGGATTGAGATCTGGTGACTCTGGAGGCCATTTGAGTACAGTAAACTCATTGTCATGTTCAAGAAACTAGTCGGAAATAATTTGTGCTTTGTGACATGGTGCATTATCCTGCTGGAAGTAGCCATTAGAAGATGGGTACACTGTAGTCATAAAAGGATGGACATGGTCAGCAACAATACTTAGGTTAGCTGTGGCATAGACACAATGCTCAATTGGTACTAATCCGCCCAAAGTGTTTCAAGAAAATATCCCTCAAAATGGAGGATGGCAGGATGGATCCATGCTTTCATGTTGTTGACTCCACTGGTTCTCACTTGCGAATGATTCTCACTCTACCATTCAAATGTCGCAGCAAAAATTGAGACTCGTGTATATATATAAGTATATATGTATGTATGTATGTGTGTATGTATGTATTTATATATATTTTTATATATATGTATGTATATATATTTTTTTATATATGTATGTATGTATGTATGTATGTATATATATATATATATGTGTGTGTGTGTGTGTGTGTGTATATATATATATATATATATATATATATATATATATATATATATGATAGATGTATATAGATATAGATATGAATTTAAAAGAGTTGTCATTTTAAATGTCAAAAGTGAATTATTATCAGTGTTGAAAACTGTTCAATATTTTGATGGATTGGTTTTAGCATTATGTGCCAAATAGAGAGTATAAATGTATATTTTTGTGTTGTCTGTCAGGAGTGAAGATCGTGTTTAGGGTGGGTTTGGTGCTCCTCAAGCAGATGTTGGGGTCTGTGGATAAGCTCCGGGAACTGCAGGGCATGTACGAGACTATGGATCGTCTGAGGAATATCCCGCCCGAATCTATTAAGGAGGATGTTCTGGTGCAAGAGGTGTGTGCACAAACTCTCATTTACTGTAGGAGAAGCAGTGGTTGTGTCCACAATATCCTTTCCCATACTTTCTGTTCTGTTTTCAGGTGATCTCTCTGTCTGTGACTGAGGCCCTCATCGAGAGGGAGTGCAGTATTCAGGTGCGTAAGTGGCGGGAATCTCGTGGAGAGTTGACTCACCAGCCGGTGCGCCGTTTGCATGGCACAAGGGCCATCTACGAGCAGAAACAGCGGGCTGCTGCAATCAGCTCTGGTGGGAGCCTGTCATTCCTGGGCGCTCATGTCCCTCCACCTGGGCCTTTACGTGCTTCATCAAGCCTCCTGTCACTTCCTGGACTTAGAAAGTCCAAGACGCCGTTTCATTCACAAAATAAAAAGGGCTCCATCTCTGGCAGTTTGGGTCAGGATATCGTTCCACTGCAGCCCCTTGGTGGTGGCACCAGCGCAGTGGCTTCAAAACCTCCAATGCCACATGCCACTAACACGGGAGCCAGTGTGCGTCCCCCAGCTCCACATGGGCCTAGTCCGCTAGCTACGACATCATCTACTACCACACCACCTGCTCCAACCGCACACGCATCCACTGCAAACATGCTCCAGCCCTCACCTAAAGTTGTGTCTGAGCACATCACCCCCACAATCCCATCACCCACTGCAAACAACGCACCATTACCACCCTGCCCAGAGATCACAAAAACGGCAGTGGAGGAAGACGGGAAGAAGAAGAAGAAAACCAAGGAGGACAAGAAGCGGGAGAAAGAGGAGGAGAAGCAGAAATCCCGTGAGAAGAAAGAGAAGGAGAAGAACGAGAAGGAAAGGCTGAAGAAGGAGAAGGAAAAAGCTGAGAAGGAGAAGAAAAAGGAGAAGGGGAGTAAGAAAAAGGACAAAAGCGGAGCTGGAGGAGAGACTGAAGAGAAGAATGGAGCCGCAGCGGCGAAAGATTTGGCCTAATTTTTGCCGTTCCTTCAGCAAGAAGAAGAATAAGAACAGGAGAATGCAGGACAAAAGAGGACAAGGAATTAAAATGTCTTCAGGCCAAGAGAGAGAAACAGAGAGGGAAAATGAACAATCTCCTCTAACATCCATTTCATCTCAAGAACTCATTTCACAAAGATAACTAGACCACTGCATCTGCCCTGCCTTCCTCATGGTCTCATCTGCACAGTGTTTTCACCCAGTGCCGAAACAGGAAGGGGTTATTTATTTGTTTTTGGAAGGTGGATGCCTGCTTGATGAGATCGGCTGTATGATTAGTTATATTTCTAGAGTACTGGGTGCCATGATATACAGAGACCTCTAGCGCCATCTGTGCCAGTCCTGTCCCGCTCAATCCCCCACTGTCCATCATTCACAAGAGAGGGGTCTCAAAACCAGAATACCTGAATAAAACATTTCTGCTGCATGACGGTGTGCGGCGGTGACTAGTAATAACTTATCTGTGAGTGTTCTGGAGGACCTATTTATTCATCGTACTGTTGATTGTTAGTGTGTGTTTGTGTGTTCTTGTATGTCTGTGCCTTGGCAGTGTAGTGAATCGTGTCACATTCTCGTGCTGCAGACGGGTCTCGCCGCTTCCCTGAGGAACTTGTCCTTCCAGTCTCAGTCTTTTGGGGGACTTGTATGTTTTGGGGAGTGGTTGAACAGCATGGAAAAGGTACGTTCTTCTTAACAGTGGAAACGGACACTTTTAGCTATCCCAGTTAACCTAAGAAATAAAAGATCAATATAAACATCGTCTATTTCCACTCAGAGACCCCCAAACCATAAAATAGATATTAGCCTGTTCTGAGATTCACTCCGAAGTCTTCTCTTTGTTCTTTTTCGAACTAATGGCATTACATAAATTGCAGAAAATGTTTAAAATGATCTACCGAGCGTGTAGGTCACTCCAGGTATCTGTGTGGTTTGATGTTAAATATCTTGATGTTGATATGGGTGTCAGTTCAGACTAGGATCTTAACAAATGTATGCACTGAGGCCTGTTGATTTTCACCACTGATCGGTTCTTTAATGTAGGCACTCTCTAATCCAGCTCACACGACTCCTTAAGTCTGCACCTTGTTCATTGGGAAGGTTTTGGTGCAGCGCTGTAGCATTAACCTTTGACCTCTGAAGCCCTTTGCTTCAGGTTGTAATGTTTTGACGTGTAAAAACTTAATTTAACCGGATGGAACCATATAATATCTATTACAGCTGTTATTAGTCTTGTTTTGGATTAGATTTTTTTATTTTTCTACGCTGGAGGCCTGGTAGACTGGAATGGCAGTGAGTTTTGTTTTACGAGAGTGTTGTATTTAATCACAGGATTGATATTTCTGTTATTTTTAAGCGCTGAAAATTATTTTTGCACATTTCTTCTCCCAACATCCTGGAGAACAAATCTAAGCAGTTATTATTTATTTAGACATTTTATAATCACTCGCTTGTCTGCAGTATTTGTGGTTTGGGAGATGGTGGTTTAATACTGATTATTGTTTATTTTTTCGAGTGCGTTATGATTATTGTGTCCCATTGAAGGGGGAAATTAGCCCAAAGAGTTGTGAGAGAAAAGATTTTGTGTTTATCAAATATCGTCCTTAACAAAACCTTCACCCAAACAGTGTTACTCCTTGTTTGAAGTGAACACCGATTGAACCTGTAATCCACTGACCCCTCAGTATTATGAATAATTTGATGCATTCACCAGGTGATTGGACCATGCTTTTAGGACTTTCAGCATATAGTATTTTCTGTCAAGGCAGAGTAGATCTGAAGTAGTATCTGGGTTGCAATACAGTAGCCAAATACTCAATGTTAATATTGTAATGGCGTCTCATGTGTTTACTAGACTTGTTGCATCATTCAGTCTCAACTGCAGGAAGTCCGTTTTCCTCCTGACCTGTCAGTAGTGCCCTAACTGACCTCAATGGTCATTGCTTCCTCTTAAGGCACTACTGTTCAAAAAGAAAGCAAGCAAATTATGTCTATGCAAACTTTGTTTTTAACTTTCCGCACAACGAAACCCAAGAACTGTTGAAGGAAACGTGGAGTGGGATGCAAGTGGTTAGATCCAGATCACCCGGATGATCTAGATTTATTAACCTGAAGAATTGTTCCAAGCACTAGCATAAACCTGATTTTGTACCTGTCAGGCCATCTTCACTAACACCATCCATCTTGTCTGAATCGCAACCAAGAGTACGACAGGTGGACTTAAAATGTTTGGACGCTGTGCTCACCAATAATTAATGCAAGGCCATCCAGTGTTGGTTTACTAATACTCTGAGACAGCTGGGACAGGGTGTAAAATAGCTTGACTTGTCTTACGGATTTCTGCATTGGTAAATATGCCCCAATGTATGTTGTAGGATCGCTGTAAAATTAATTTTAAATAATTTAAGTTTTGCATTTTACTGTTTGTTTAGGTTAGCACTCTCATCCTGTCCTTTGTATGTCTCATGCTTGTTTTTAAGTTTACATGAAACTATTTTACATTTGAGAATGAAATAAATTCATAGACAGTTGTTCTAAAACTGCAGAAGAGGAAGTTCACAGTGTATTTAATAATTACAGTTGTGATGAATAATAAATCATAATATATTAAAAGCTCCATCAAGAGTGTGTTTTTTCTGCTAATGAAGTATTTTGAGTGTCATAGATTTATTGTGCTACACTGAAGCAGCAATAATCAAATTTGTCATTTAACCAGGGGTAGATTTATCCAATAAGCGAGGTAAGCGCCCGCTTGGGGCCCCAGGAAATCTGAAGGCCCCAAAATAAATAACTAAAAGTAGAAATTATATCAATACATTTTATATAACGATACAATGGGTAGTACAATCTACTCACAGCAAGAAGGTCACTGGTTCAAGCCTCGGCTGGGTCAGGTGGCATTTCTGTGTTCTCCCTGTGTTCGCGTGGATTTCCTCCAGGTGCTCCAGTTTTCACCAATCCAAAGACGTGGTATAGGAGAATTGGGTAGGCCAAATTGTCGGTAGTGCATGTGTGTGAGTGTGTATGGGTGTTTCCCAGTGATGGGTTGCAATTTACAGCAGGAAGGGCATCCACTGCGTAAAACATATGCTGGATAAGTTGGCGGTTCATTCCACTGTGGCAACCCCAGATTAATAAAGGGACTAAGCCAAAAAAAATGAATGAATATAACATTGTTTCTATCATATTTTGTATGATGAGGGTATGACAATTTTAATTTGAACGTAATTATTACATCTTTGCAAATGTGACCCCCACCTGCGATCATGGAGCAGTCCAGCAGTCGAATCTGTAAAAATTTTGTTTTACAAAAACAAGTTTTACCAGATGTTTTGTGTCATTATTATTTAGCATTAAGATAAAATGTGGAAAAGTAGATTGAGTGATTTAAGAAAAACAAACATCAAAAGAAATTAAAGTACAAATGGTGCATATTATGACGTTTGGGCCCCATTGGCTGAATTGCTTAGGGCCCCCAAATCACTAAATCAGCCCCTGCATTTAACGTTATACTTTAATACAAATGTGTAGTTTTATGCCAGGGTTATGACTGGTATGTCCCAGATTGCAAAATTACATAATTTCAACCTAAAATCAATGTTCTTTTGACGCTGAATCAATGTCACCGACATTAATTCAGTGCCGGTATGCTATCTGGGGTATTTCACAATTAACGTTCAAACATTTTTTCTTGGGTAGGGAGAAGAATAAAACCCATTTTGATGGGCTATTATTACAGTTCTTATTGAATATTAACTTTATATGGCAATGTGCCAAAATACGTTTGCATGACTACGTACGCGACCAGTAGAAATGGCGCGAAGTTTTGAGGTGGAAATTTTACCTTAGGGATTAATCCTGTTTTACAATTCTCTTGTAGTCAAGACTCATATTTCGTGTATAATTAAACTATATTTGTTGAGCAAGCTGTTTATTATACATTTATAAATTTATAGAAACTTTCAGTTTTAAGTGTTTTCACATAGATTTTTGTTGTTGTTGAATGATTGTGAATACTTTACGCAATTAGAAAGTGGGCTTGCTACATTAAAACACTTAAAACCTATAGATTGAGGTAAGTGGATGTTAGCAGCTGTGCAATTATTTGTAGTACTGTAGTACTAATAGTGCCCAGCAGAGAGCGCTGTTCACATGCACAGTCATATTTGTGATTTACTGCATAGTAGATCCGCAGTCTTATGCAACCCTTACCCGCCTTACATTACCACCTATAAGCTCTGTGATTACACCTGAGACAAGAGAGTTTCATCTCGCCTATCACACACAGCCAGCAGACACTGCAGTACAAAAAGATGTTTTATTCACAGTTTGTGTCTTTTATTGGTTACAGAAGAGGTTTGGCAGAGCAAAGCAGGCCCAGATGCAGAAAGCAAAAAAAGAAAAAAGAAAAGATGGACAGAGAAATAGAGAAGAGGAGGGGAGAGGGGGAGTGAAGAGGTTATGTTTTCTTTCAGTCCCTGCTCTCCTCTCTTCCTAGGATGGTCTGTCCCTCTCACTCCCTCTGTGATGAGCTCGGCATCGCTTTTAGGAGGCTAAACTCACTCAGCACAAAACCCTCATTTTCTCTTTCTCTTTTTAGTCAACCACCAGAGGAGGAAATGAGAATGATGACTGGTTCCTCTATTATAGAGTGAGATCACTCCATCGTGCTTCTTTCCCCCTCAGAGTGAGCACTCTTCCACATTGATCTAGAGAGATGTTTCAGCCCCAAACTATAGATGCCTTCGTTTCAACTCCTAAGACTGCAGCAGAAGAAGCAGCGACTTTCATGCAAGCTTGACTGAAATGAAAGAGAGGTGGTCGCGGGTAACGAGTGAGAAACAGAGAGAAAGAGAGAATGTGAGAGATACAGAAATGATGTTCATTTTATTGAAAACAATCCAATGTCCCCACTCGACAGACACTGTGGTCGTGTTCCTCTCCACCCTCCCAATTCAGTCCCAGCGAGACAAGTCTTTGGTAAGATGGAGAGTGTAAGTGCTTGGAGTAACAACGATGGTAGAAAGCAAGAAAGGGAGGAAGAAAAACAAAAGTTAGAGAAGGCCAGACAACAGACTGGGAGGATTAAGCTGTGAGGGATGCATGTTCTTCTCTTCGTTTTCTTGATTCCAAGGTAGTTTACTCCTCCTTCTCCTCTCCGTGTGTGATGACGTAGCAGATGTTCTTGTAGTCAACATTGCCAGCCACATCTGGGGGGAAGGCGGCCCACAGATTCTTCATCTAAAGGTGGAAGAATGAAGTCAGATGAAGATACGGTTGAGGTCAGAAATATATGCCCCCTTTGGATTTTATTTTTATTTTTTTATATTTCCCAAATAACTTTAACAGAGCAAGGAAAATTTCACAATATTTTTTCTTCTGGAGAAAGTCTTATTTGTTTTATTTCGACTTGAATAAAAGCAGTTTTTATTTTTTAATAAACATCAAAGGTCAAATAGTTACAGAACAAACCATTGTTATACAATAACTTGCCTAATTCCCCTAACCTGCCTAGTTCACCTAATTAACCTAGTTAAGCCTTTCAATGTCACTTTAAGCTGTATGGAAGTGTCTTGAAATATATCTAGTCAAATATTTACTGTCATCATGGCAAAAATAAAAGGAATCGGTTATTAGAAATGAGTTATTGAAACTATTATGTTTAGAAATGTGCTGAAAAAATCTGCTCTCCATTAAACAGAAATTGGGGAAATAAATTAACAGGGGTTCTAATAATTCAAGGGAGGCCAATAATTCAGAATTCTGACAACTGTATATTCAACAGAAATTAAAAAAAAAAAAAAAAGTAAAATAGATTATCAATCAAACATGTTGAAGGCGTTGGTTCAGTACATTGCTGGTTGGATAGATGTAGATGTGAATGCAAGCTTGCAGCTGATTGGAAGAAAGGGACAGGCTATTGCGAACCAAATATTTAGAGAAGTCTGGTGCAGGGGTGGATTTAACCAATAGGTAAGCGGCTGCTATAGGGCGCCAGGAAATCTCAGGCTCCCAGTAAATGTCTAGAAGTATAAATTATTCCTATAAACTATACATAACATTGTTTTCTATCATATTTTGTATGGTGATAGTCAAACTAAAAAAATTATAAATTAAAATATAATATTATTATGTTATTTTATTTTATGTAATATTCATTCATTTATTTTTTTTGGCTCCTTTTATTCATCAGGGGTCACTACAGCTGAATGAACCACTAACTTATCCAGCATATGTTTTACACAGCGAATGCCCTTCCAGCCGCAACCCAATACTGGGAACTGTTATGTAATAATGATATCATAAAATAAAATATTAATATTATTATTAACGTTACATCTGCACAAATTTGTTCCTAATCATCACCACCCCTAATCATAGAGCAATCCAGCGTATACACTACCAGTCAAAAGATTAAGGTCGTTTTTTTTTATGTTTTTTTTTTAAAGAAAATTATTCTGTTCATCAAGGTGGCATTTATTAAATGTAAAAAAAAAATTGAATTGTTAAATATTTATTTATTACTTATTGTATGTAGTTTCAATTAAAATTAGTCTTGATGAGCAGGATAAGCTTATTTTTAAACATTTGGTCGATAGTGAATATATATTATTTTTTGTTGTAAATTAATTTTAAGAAAATTAATCATTTAAGAAGTAGTCATTGCATTATGATAGAGCATAGAAAAGATGTTTTATGTGATATAAAAAAATCTAAATAAATAAAAATGAAAAGTAGAAAGGGTTAATTTTAGGACTGATGGGACCCAAAATGTCCCAAAACACCATTAAAGGTGCTGGTTTTAATAAGTGGCAATGTTTTGAAATTGTTTTAAAATATTTTTAACTTTAAGATGTCTGTGATAGCTATTATTATATTGTTTTGTTTTGTTTCAGCAGATAAATAATCGCTGTGAGATTATGCTTGGTTTTGAAGGGAAAATAACATTTATAATAAATAGCATTAATTACATTGAGTTGATTCATAATTACATTGATTCATTTTGCTGCTCTAGTGGATTCTAGTTTACTTCATATCGACTGAACTGTAATTAAAATTAAACAAAAGTAGAAAGCGTGCATTTTAGAACTGTTAAAATCACTAAATCTGCCCCTCATCTAGTGTACATCACCAAAGTGGAGTTGACATTTTGTTTAAAAATTAGGAGGTTAGAAATACTAATAATGAAATCTGCATGGGTGGATTGTTCACCATAGGATAAATACATGCACTCATCATGAGGACATTACTCTGATCTTACCTCCTCTGCGGTGAACCTGTCGCACTGAGTGGTCAAAAGCTCCTCAAGGCTGAAAGAGAGAGAAAGAGCAGCGCTCAGACATGGAAACCTTGATTGTGTCGTGTGTGCATAGAAATGAAGAGTCATTGAATATATAGACTTACAATTCCTTCTTGATGGATCCAGTGCCCTCAGGGTCCAGCACCTTGAAGGCAGACACGATGACGTCTTCGGGGTCAGCACCTTTCAGAGAAACAAAGCGCAGGTTACACTTACTGAAAACCAAAAGGAATAAAAGATAGAAAAAGTGACGTTTGCACACCCTTCAACTTCTCTCCGAACATGGTGAGGAAAACGGTGAAGTTGATTGGGCCGCTGGCTTCCTTGATCATGGCCTCCAGCTCCTCATTCTTCACATTCAGCTGGCCTGTAGAGAGATGAGGACGGTCAACACGGGATCATGGATATGTTTGTGAAGGACACAATTGAGAAAAGACGCACCCATTGAGGCCAACACGTCCCTAAGGTCGTCTTTGCTGATGATACCGTCTCTGTTCTGGTCAATGATTGTGAAAGCCTATTGTGTGCAAGACAGAAAAAAAGACAAGTGAGATTCCTGGAAACACATCATTAAGGTAATTCATCATATAAAATTCCAACGTTTATCTCTATCCTGACAGCAATGAAGCAAAGTGCCCTTTTCAATCACATGAAGCTCAAAGAGAGTTGCTTAATTTAAATAACGGCAGCTGCTGGCTCCTATCTGACCCCCACAGAGACCCTCGCTGATCCTTCTTTCCATCTGGGAGACGTGTTAAGTCAAACCCAACTGTACTGTCAGACATTCCAGAAGAGGCACTTGAGAAGACTGTATTACCAAACCATTCACATCCTTACTTGGCTCAGTAGCGCCCTAGCCTGATGCTAAATTCAGTCCCCTCACCCTTTCAGAATGTGTGCACATGCTCTTTTGCTTTGTGTTTAAGATAATGATGCTAATTCAGATTAATTGTGATATTTGAGGATCATAACTTGTGGTGACTACTGATAATCCTTTTTTTTTTTTAAATCTTTGGTTATATCACTTTTTTGGGACCACTATCTTCTTAGGGTCCTACAATATAAACATTAACTTTTTTTTGTCATTTTAATATCTTTAATATTTTAATCACACTTCCAAGTTAGAGACCTATTCAGTAATGCTCTGTTTTATCTTGAGTATGAGCATCATACATTTAATTTTCTCTGTTTCTCTGGCATGTGCTGTGATCTTCAGCTGCTCTCCCGTTGGGATCATAAAAGGAGTGCCTGACAGGTGGGTTTTGACTTTAGCAGATGAGATAAAAAGAATAGATTAAGTTATTCTGTTAACCCACCCCAGATGCCATTCTGACCATAAAACGAGCCTTAATATAGATACCCTTCAACCTTCCTCTCTTTGGGGGATAAAACAGACCCTATTCCTCATAATAACAGAATTGTGCCATATTAGCATTAACTTGCTCGTTCCAATTATAATTTATTGCTTTAAACTTGTGCCTGCTAATATTTACCCAAATCAAATGTATTCAGATTAGTTAATTTACAGTGAATTGAAGAATATTTACTTCTAAATCATACAATATAGCATATACAAATATGAATCATTGGGTGCCAGGATATGCTATTTATTACAAGATCTGGAAATATTTACCTCTTTGTACTCCTGAATCTGGCTCTGCTCAAACATGGAGAAGACGTTGGAGGAACCCTCTCCTCCTGCTGCCCTCCTCTTGGCCTTCTTGGGTGCCTAGATAGACAAGAAAATGCATTTTCTCTCATAATTTAGCACATACATACGCATATAATTGACATTTTGTCCTGTTTTCAATAAAATAAGAAAATCTTGTTCATGTAAAAGGCTTATATCTTCATAAAATAAGTTAATTCATAAAACATTTGGATATAAATCTACTCATAAAACACATACTAATGAAGCAGACATTAATGCATGATGTACATGCAAATAAGGATTTCTCTAAACGTTTTCTAATTAATTATTAAATATGTATCTTTTTTATTGTATTTTTTATTTACCTTGATATGATTGAGTTCATATTGGTTCATTAATTAATGTTTTCTAGTGAATTTTGAATTTGTTATGAATCAAAACTTATAATCTACTACTAATACTACAAACTCAATTTTTAATTAATGCTAAATGTTAACAAATATGTTTTTTTTAATGGGAAATAAAGGCAAAATCACTCAATGTTGCATATTCAAACAAGTCAGAAGTAACTAAGTTCTGACTTGCTTCCAAAAACAGGTTCAGATTAAAATGTCCATTTTATATTATCCTGTTAAATGTATTATAAGTCCAAAAATCTGATGCTGACTCAAAGTGCGATCTCTGTTCCATGTGACCCTCCTGAGAGCGAGGCATTATGTCCTTGGTCCCTATGTGTCCACCTACATGGTGTGGCCAGGTAACAGGTAAGGTACAGGTTACTCACCATGTCGAGACGGTATGTGTGAAGTCTAAGAAGATCAAGAAGAGAAGTCTGAAGCCGCGTAGTGTCCTGTACTTGAGGGGCTTATATACTGACGAAGGCCCCTTGCTAATTATAGACCCAACCTTAAGTGAGGTTTGGGAAATAGCAGACCGAGAGAGAAAGAGGAAAAACTATGAGGTAGGGGGAAAGTGATGGAGGGACACCGGCTGGGATGTACTATCATCTTACAGTGCTCAGAAATAGCTATTGGAGTCTTGGAATGGGATGAATCTGATACTGATGGCAGCGGCCTGCATGTCTCGCGTTGACTAATAAGGACATGGGGACGTAAGGGACTGTTTGAGCTTCATACAATCACATAACTCAATTTGAAATGAATGAGCTGTAGCCACTGAGTCTAAAGGGGACGCAACTCCCTCCCCTAAAGTTAGATTAGCAGCAGATCAATACTGGCTTATCTTGCAGGATTACTTGTTGGATGGGGAGGGTTGCAGTGATAGATCCTGATGGATTTCAATCCAGAGATTTTTTGAGCCAATGATTATGTTGTTCATATTTGTTCACGCCCCTGGCTGATATATAAGAGGACGTTCTGGTGTCTTAACCCTTATTTCAAATCAGCCCTAATCGAAAATAGGTTTTAATGCTTTTCCTAGTATAGTGATGCTGTAAGATTTCGGTTCAAGTGCCCCCACCACACCCGTCCACATGGCCATGCCCATATTCAGCACTCTCTCTCTCTCTCTCTCTCTCTCTCTCTCTGCCGATCGACCTATGACCTCACCCGGTCACTTCAGTGACTGTGAGGTGCCATTTGTGGGAAGCTGCCCTGTGGACAAGCACGTAATTACCCCTTTTTCCCAGTTTTTAGATGGTCAGCACACTACAGCCCTCTGAGTGGTTGATGTTGGACCCTCATGAAGAGAAATTTGAGGCTTAAGACAGTTTTTTTTTGGGAAGGCAGGCATAAGGAACAGCTGTGGGTGACCAAAATAGCTAAACAATCTTGAGCGCTCCTTGCTCTCTTTTTCTTGTCTAATTCATCAGTCACTGTTTTGTCCCCCTTGAGTTTGTTGTGCATTCCCTTCTTTCTTTAGACTAATTTGATATCCTGTGAGTCTGTCGGCTTGTTTTGCTCCTTCTTGTTCCAAAATTGTTTAAGATTAGCATTATTTTACAGTACCTAGAAAAACAGATAATTACAGTGCTCAGAGTAATTGAGTACAGCCCATTTTGAAAATGAATATTTTTCTCCATCTCTCAGTTAATATAGGCAATGTATTTTGGTGCATTTAAACAAAACAGATTTATTAAACAGCTATATTTATTAAAATAATATTTTAGTCACAAAATTGAAAGATAAAACAATTTAAATAAAGCTAAATATTGCAACAAAAAAATTACAACCTACAAATTTTGAACAAATTTTTTTCCATTGTTTTGCTTCTCTTGATTTTTCCCTGTTTTAAAATTTGTATTTAATATTTTTCAATAACATATAAATATGGGTGTAGTAGTTTTTGGACCGTTATCATAAGTTATTTTGTTAAATAAGCTCCAGATTTAGCTTCACTCTCAGAAATAAAGGGTGTAAACTGTCACTGGGGTGGTACCTTTCCAAATGATAAAAATTTGTACCTTAAAGGTCCATAATAAAACCTCAAGGGTATATATTAGTACCTAAAAAGTACAAAAGTGTTTCTCTTAAAATTTTTAGGCACTAATATATACTTTTGAGGTATCAATATGGACCCTTTAAGTACAAATATGTACCTTTTGAAAAGGTACCACCGCAGTGACAGCTTGCGGACCTTTATTTCTGAGAGTGTACTGACTAATCTAATGTATATGCACAAATATAACATTGTATAGCTTCCTATTAAAAATATTAATTTAAAAGACAGATTTGGGTGTTTCCCAGTGTAGGGCTGCAACTGGATGGGCATCCGCTGCATAAAAAATACACTGGATGAGTTGGTGGCTCATTCCTCTGTGGCGAATCCTGATTAATAAAGGGACTAAGCCTAAAAGAAAATGAATGAAGACAGATTTGTGAGGGGTCAACACAAATTTGTAACTTTTTCATTTAGTGGCTAATTCGTACGAACTAATTCGTACATTTTAGTATGATTTGCTCATCCCCCAATGACTGAACTAAACTGGCAAAACATAAAATACTCGCGTTTTCTCTTGAGATCAGGCTAGAGGGGTGTACTCATATATGCTGAGCATGGGACATATGGGGTGATATTTGATGGAGGAATTATTAATTGCTTTAATACATGCTCACAAGTTTTATCGTATTTATATTGTAGTATACTCCCTGTAATGTAAAATAATAGGTTTAAACTAATCATCAATTAGTATGTAGTTGTCCAGAGATTTGTTAACTCATATCTATCTTCAGAACATTACTTGAATTGTAGCTGAATTGCTGTTAGTCAATTAAACATTATCTATTCTAAAAGTCGATTGGCTTTGAAAATATCCCTTCATTTAACATTTTAAAGAATACTTTTGCATTATTTTTAGAGAATTAAGATAAGTAGAGAATACTTCACAGCATTTTTTATCTCTTCCTAACCAAGTCCAACCACGAATATTAGCTGATCTTAAGCAGGCTTTTATTAGCTCAAATTATTGGAATTTTTACAGTGTAAATTAAAATACTACACTGCTTGTTTTGAGATCAGGATTAACTTACACTTGGGTACAAATTTGTTGGAGGAATACATTGTTTTCAAGAAGATTGCTAATTCTCAAAGAAAAAGAAGCAGCTTAGTGACTGCGCATTTTCTTAATTTAGAGGAGATGGTATAGCCTATGCTATATTAACACACTGCTTCTAACTATATATGGTGGAACAGCAGTCAAAGAGTCCACGAGAGAAAGAGAAAGGGAGGGGGTAAATAGACGTTTGGACCTTCATTCGAGGTATTTCAAGTGCTATCTGAAAAATATTTCATGCTCAGCTCATGATTGCTCAAATCGTGTATGATATCTTCATTGGTAAACTTGTAGGCCACTGTGTCAATCATCTTTGCTTCTGGACTCTCAAAGAGTAAATGTCTGTACATATAGAAAGCTGCATGAAATGTGATCTAGTCTTACATATTTTGCCAATGCTGTTTATCACGGTAGAGATGACTGGAATCCGGATGAGGTGAAAAAGGCCACACCACCATCACTAGGGGTTTGACACCTCGCATCCACTAGTGTAGAGATGGTTAAAATGAGGAACTTTGTTGCATCTAACATTAAAGGTCATAGATCTGTTGTCAAGCTCTAATCATACAACTAAATCTGCAGAGCTGTGGTTTATGAGTTATAGTCTGTCCCCAATACCATTCGAGTGTTGTAGCACAAAACAAGATAGTTTAGAATACACAACCTTTTTGATCTAATTTTCTTGGTCTCAGCTGTCATGAGACTCCACCAGTGTGTTGTTCTGCTGTTGCTTCAATGTTTGCATTAAGAGATTCTGTAGACCTCAGTAGCAATAAGTGCTATTATTTCCATTCTATCAGCTCTGAGCTTTGGAATCAGCAAGGCAATTCTGACCACGAATCTGCCTTGGATACGTTCTGTTTGTCTCTGTAAAACCTACAGGTGTCTGTGTGTGGAATTCCCAGTAGATCAGCAGTTTCTGAAATACTCAGCCCAGCCCATCTGGCACCAACAAACAAGCCATATTTAAAGTCATCTAAAGCATTTTTCTTACCAATTCTAATGTTGTTTGAACTTCATTAGATCACATACAAACATAAATATATGTACAGAACAATTTATTGTACTTGTATTATAATTTGATTGCTACAAGTTGAGTAAAGCACACACAAAAATGTACCAACACTGATTAAAATGTCCTTGTTGCATTGCAATATCGAAATACCAAATGATTATCAATAAAATGCATCAAATTAAATTCATTATGAAACAGAGTACTCCAAATGAGTACTGCGAACCTAATTCATTTGAGTAAACGAAGTAATTAGAGTACAGTAAAACCCAATAAATGAAGAGAACTCAAATCAACTGAGTACTGTAAAACCCAATAAGTTAAGGCAACTCAAACCGTTTGAGGAAACTGATTGCTACAAACCATTTGAGTTAAAAAACTAATCTACAGGAGTACTGTGAACTTTCTTCATTTAAGTTGACATAATGAGGTTTTTAATTAACTAATTACCTTCAACACTGAGTTCAAAACTCTTTTCAAATGAGTAGAATTAACTTTCAGTAAGTTTTGAGTTAACACTCATTTCATTTGATAAAGTTAACTGTTGGGTTTTACAGTGTATGCTGTAAGATAACACGTTGAGCATGCTAGATACAGAAACTGAGAAAACATTCAATAAATGATCTGATTGTTCAGGGCTTTATATGATAAACAGATTCTTAAACCTTTTCCAAAGTCAAATTTAAGCACTTTTTGTGCATTTTGTTGGCATGATTGCCCGAAGCGCAACACTGAATTACTGTCATTTACTCTCATCCTAAATGTCATCCTTTTAAAGTTATGCGTTGTTCACTTGTGAAATTGTAATCTCCATGCAGTCTTCAATCACTGCTTAATCAAAGGGCACAGATCAACATCACCACCATCAGCACATGCGAAGACTTTTCATTTTATGCAAACGCAAAATATTTGTAATTTGAATAGTAAATTATGTCCTATTTAACAAGTGATTATAAAAGCAACATTTTTACATTTTCAAGCAATTTATGCAAAAAACGAAGCACTTTTCAAGCTTTAAAACACCACAATAAAATTCAAGCATTTTCAAGGATTTCCAGCACCCATACAAACCCTGGATACAATATCAGTTGTGAAGTCACTAGTGCCCTGGGTGCCTGAATCATGGCTGCATATAGTAGCACTGTTGGTCAGGTGCGGTGCCCTCTAGTGAGCCCATAAGGAGCTGCATCTACAAACAATAGTTCAGTTTACTGATAAGACTGTCACACCAATAAATACTATTGCTTTTAACTGTGTTTAGAATTCCAAAACTGTAAAGTGATTTAGAAACTACAAGAAAAAGGCACGTCTAAACACCC